ACTAGCAGCACTCTCTGGTAAATTTATAACTTTAAGCCATCATCAATCTGCCTGAGGGGCGTAGAGATTATGACAAACTCCCCCCCTCATGCAGAGGAGGCTAAATGCTAATCAGTGAACAGTCTAGGATTATTTGAGATGTCATGATGGGTTAAATCACACACCTTTACTCAGACCTCCTTTTGGGATCAAACACAATGACTGCGAAATTACCTTGCTAAAATCAACCGATGCTCATTATCAACACCTATAAGTGGGCACCATGTCCTTGTTAATAGACCAGATTCCAGATTAATTATTTCAATGATAATAGTTTCTCGATTTCAATTTTTCTCTTTTTCAATTACTATCTCGTTTGTAATAAAATCGAAATAAAATAAATCGACTGACCAAAATGGGCATCCGAAATATCCGGTTCCTTTATTACAAATACAAAGTAGTGACGTAACTATTGGAATTTATTGTTTATTGATATAATGACGTCACGCGATGGATGACCCCGGAATTTGGCGAGGAAACCGCGCATAAAACGTTCGTTGACTCGACCCAGCGACCGACTGCCAGTGTCAACATCTGCAACGAATTGTTCCATTTTTAAACTTATTATTTTCATACTTACAATTTTATTCTTTTTACCTGCCGACTTTTGAGTAGGTAACTGACAAAAATGTGATGTTTGAGCGTGAGGTGTTGAAGATTTGGAGGTCTAATTATTTTTATTGACTTTTCTATCGAAGACTTGTAATTAAATTTCTTTAACAAACACTGTTCATAATAGCCTCTTTACACATTTGAACTTTTGTTTGATCAACAAATATTTCGTTCGGGATACGATTCCGCCAATAACCTAGCCACTGAATTAACCGTGCATTTAATTGTTAATGGTCGTTTTAAGAAATCGCATTATGTCTTTTCTGTCAGTAGAAATTATGTCTTTTAACCAGTTGCGATTTTAACAACATTTAAAGAAGAATCCTAAGCTCGCATCATGCATGAGGAGTTCAAAACCTTGCAAGTACTAATGTGACTTTTTCCGAGACATGCGATAATATCTAAGTTCATTCAGACACCACAGACACCGTGAACAAAATATCGTGAGGAAACCAGGACTAATTACAAATTTGATATCGCGAATCCGCTTTGAGCAAGCGTTGTGATTAATGCTCAAACCTTTTCCGTCTGAGAAGAGGCCTTTGCTCAGCAGTGGGCACTTTAGGCTGATGTTATGTGATGTGAGTTTAAAATGAGTTTATATATAATTGGTCACTTTTTTGTGGAAGTTATTGGACATGATGTTAGTCACAATGGCACGGGGTAATCTGCAGCTAACAATGTTTTCACAACAAGTCCACAGGTGTTCCATTTATCCTTATAACGGCCTGTTAGTTTTGTGCTACGACACCCCGGGGAGACGACGCGATCTAATCGTAATAGGATCCTATGACCTCGAGTTAAGCGTTGTGTACTGCATAGGCAATGTATTGTATTTGTGCTAAACTAATGTCTTGCAGGCTTAATCCTATGAGCTAAGAACATTAAGGTCCTAAATACAGTTTATTTATGTAAAACGATACATTTGGGTTTTTCGGAAAACTAAACGACGACGGTATCTGTTTAAAAAAATAGTTTTTTTAAAGTAAATATGTTAAACAAAAAAAAAACGAATGGACCATATTATATTATAAACTAGCTTCCGCACGCGGCTTCTCAAGCGTGGTATGTTGATAAAAAGCAGCGTATGTGTTAAATTTCAACGAAATCGGTCCATCGTTTTCGCGTAGGCGAAGGATAACAAACATACATCCATACACATTTGCACATTCCTATAATATTAGTTGAATCTATAAAAATTTTATCAACTCAAGCTTGGACATCTGAACCACCCCAAACCGCACAGCGTCCTCTGACGCTTCAATTCACAACAGCTTATACATTACAAAATTGTCCAAACAACAAATAACATAATATAAAACATCCAAAAAGCTTAGCGTCTCCTCAAACAGTCTCATTAGTTAGACCTTGGGATCCTTCTTAAGCCATCACAAATCTGTCAGCCGCAGAACTGCTCCTATTTTCTTCCTTTATATAACATTTGAAGGCACGTGTTTTTGTTCTTATCAACACTTGTCTTGGCACACGACTTATCTGAAGAATAGGAATTATTATACATAAATAAAGTCGTATAAACAAGATAAATACCTTCTTCAGTTTGAATATTATTTACCGTTTTAGTGTTGTGTCCATGACATTTTATATCATATCAGTAGTTTCGGGAATTCTCTTGGTTCTCCCATAGACTAATAAGTTTTTGTTTTACAAACAAATAGATGCATCTGATGCCTGATTGAAAGGACTGACAGACAATACTAGCTACACACTTATGTAATAGGTGTGTCTTGTTGGATGGTTTAATAATTAATTGTATGATGCGATTATTTGGAGATCAGACACGGATCACAATATATATCACATAATATATCACATATCTGGTACACAATAGGCGCCGTCCATGGATACCTGCTACTTTAGAGGAGTTGCAACTAGCACTAGCCTTTTAGGGGTTAGGCATTGGGGAATTAGCGATAAGATTGGGATTGAGAATTGGGACTCCGGTATGCTCTCCTATACGACGAAACAACGTAAGCATTGTATCTCCAATTACACGCCACTGAACTCGATGATCAGCTATTTTCATCCAACCACTACCAGCCACCCACGTAAATCGTCAGTTTACCTAGCTGGCTAAGCTAAAGCTAAGGTTGCCGACCGATTTATCTCATGGCTATTCAACCAAAAAGATTCCAACCAGTAACTAAATCTTTACACGTGTCCCAATACATAACAGAAAGCTATTGTTATCACTTACAAGTAGGTATGGTAAATGTAGGGAACTGTTTCCACTGGTAGTTCCTTTAAAATTGTTCACAGACGCTCAATGATGTTCGAAGCACGTTTTTAATTTCAAACGGCTCAAACTCCACAATTACTAGGTACTTGGTATACATGCCAGCATTTAAAGCTATTCCAAACTGATCATTTCTTTAATAGAATTTCAACTCTGTTGTTTTATGTAACAAGGTTTTGAATTCTTTAAGACAATTAGTCGGTTTTGGGTATCTATATATGCCGTTTTCTGTATTTCTATGTATCTGTCTAGGGAAGGTTTTACTTTTTAAGAGCTCCTAGTAAATTTAAATATTCAACGTATTTTCTTTTGTTAAATACAATTGAAGTAATAAGAACTCATTTCGATTTTCGTAATCGTTACTTTATTGGGGTTTAATAAAATTATTTTTAGATACTTTTATTGATTAATAATCATCATATTTACAGTCTTAAATAATCCATTTGGGATCAGCTTAAGAGAGGGGTCATTGTCCTTACGTATTTCATAAATTTTCTTATGGAACCATTTTTGAATTCTTAAATATTTAAAATATGAACATCTGATAAAAATTTACTTTCGTTTACTTTCAAGCATGGGTTAATTGACCCTTTACAATATGATCGCACCTTTTTCCTACACTTTATTGTTTCGTATTCTATAACTAAATATAATCCAGTTACAAGGGTCATGGGAGCGTTTTTGGGTAGATAGGTATGTGTGTCATAAATCGTAATATCTGTATACCCTGAAGGGATCGGTAGCGGCATATCTGCAAACTACACGTTTCGATATATTCTTGTCAGTTATTAATAAACGGAACGATTATTTTTCTCACAACTCGTTTTCACTGTGTTACCATGTGCTAGATTTATTTTTTCAAAATATGCTACAGATTTGTACCCTTTTCAACTATAATTACTCAGATTATGACTCAATCAAAACGTGTTACCTATCCTACATCATTGTTTTTACTTCCCAAATAAGTGGGTACTAGAAGCTCATATTATTATTTAAACATCCTAAAGCTTATTTGACAGTCATCACATCAAATTTCAAAAGATACATGATACACAAAACCTTGTAATACCGCGAATAAACCTCTATGTTTTGTATACAATACGAAGTATTCACTATCGTACGTAATTAAGGACGAGATTAAATTTTACGCGTTTGACGACGGCACTTATGAAACCCGTCGTGATATATGGCAGCAAAACTTTACACAAGTTTGGGTGACGACGGCGCGTCAGTGTCGAGGGTGCTCTATATTATATCGCAAGTAGTCGCGAGCACACGGCACGCCGTGGAAGGCGGTCCGAAGTTGGTCGCGTAGATACCGCTACGGGCCGTACTACAGCGCTCAGCCCTCGCTCAGTCGGCGAGAAGCGGTCCATGCGGCACGTCACCGCCCTCAGCGGACGCTCGCACCTCGCTCGGCGGGAAACTTCTAATAAACAACTCGAATACTTTACAAACCCAAAACCGATTCCATCACAACCGTCGCGATTATCAAAAAGTTTACCACAAGTTTTGATGCTTTTTGACTCGCTACCGATAAAGCTGGGCCTACCTCGCGTGATGTAACTTCTGCGACTTTGCCCTATTTACTAATACGATTGCCTCCGTGTAAGCCATAGTTATCGCCCACCCTCCGACACATGGTAAACTATGTGATTAACTCTGTTCGTGAAGTGTCTCATCACTAACTCTTACGACCCCGACAAAGTTTAATTGTTCAAGTGAATATTTAATTTGCAGTGTTCTCGGTGGCGTCCGTCCGTTATAAGATCAAAAAGAAACTTTACACGCTAAATTAAATAAAAATTTGAACTTTACGTTGAAAAGTTTGTGTTTAATTTTCTATGAGACAGCATAACATAAAAATTAGTGTGGATAGTTGGCGAGACCCAATTTTAATGCACAAGGAAGTTGCACATACGGTGTCATTCAATTGAACGAGCTAAATTCGCGAGGTCTCGGGCTGTGCCATTAACTCACAGTTATAGCTTGGTTATAAAAACATCGTAAGGTATCGAGGTTAGTTGTGGAGGAACCTTGAAGGTTTTATGTGTTAAGTGTTGAGGTGGGTTAAGGCTGGGCGGGGTAGTAGACACGGATGGTGTGCGATGGTGGCGCCATGTTGTGTCTGGAGTCGCTGATGGCGCGGTGGCGCGAGCGCAGCTCCAGGGAGGGGGAGAGGCGCGCGCGCTCGCGCAGCCTCTGCTCCTCGGGGGCGGATGGCAGCCTGCTGCAGCTACTGCATAGGAGGGCCAGCAGCGCTATGTAAGTTACTAGATATCTTCTATAGATGTTTAGCAGTAAAAAAATGCTATGAGTGTCTAAGAAGCTTTAAGAATTTATCATGTTTTCTGAAAACGTTCAACAACATTCTTTATTAATCAATATCTTTTATAACACTAAACAAACAGTTTACAAATGGGTTAGTTGTAGTAGTCGACGACATCCATTTTGAAAATACTTGAATTTTTTTTGACCTTATTCCGAGTAGGTTATGTTGAACTATTTCGTGCTCTATAATTGTCAGACGTTTCGATCTATCCATCTTTCCTTCAGTCTTCTCTGGTTCCCATCTATCAACGTTTAAAGCCAGTCACTTTTTACTTAATTGTAGGAAAGGCATTGTTAATACATGACAATATAGAAGGTATTTATTGTCTGGAATATTATTCTTGTAATTACATTCCTATCTACGGCCATATTGTAGGTAATAATAAGCATTATTCTATTATTTTATTGATTTTATCATGCATTTGTTTTTATAAAACAACTAATACGTAGGTATTGCAATGTTTATTTATTATAGGTAGTAAATAGTAAATTTTCCTGTTGACATTACGATGAAGCTTACATGTAGTTATTCAGTTTTTACAATACTGAATAAGGTTTGTTAATTATTGTGTTTACAATACAGCACGGTTTCATTTGCTAAGGTTGTCCATCTAAAAGTTCTTTATATTCAAGACACGTGTTAACTAAAATAAAATAAAATTTAGAACAAAAAAATACTCTTTAACATAACAATACCGTTAATTATTTGACATTTACTTAAAGTAGGGGAGAGTTATGCTATGTGCGATAGGCGTGCTTCAGCTCGAATGGGTCGGCTCGACCGGAGGATACCACGGCCTGACAGAAAACCGACGTGAAACATTTACAGCGTTGTTTTACGTCGTATAGACGTTCCTTCCACTCCCAAATCCTTAGTCAAAAAAAGTTAGAATCCTTTATTTCAATTAGATCCCTATCAGGCAGTCACTCGGTCAGTCCTCTAAGTGAAGTTAGTTACTGGTTGCAAAGTGTATGTAGATTTCGATAGAAAAGAAGGAGCAAGAAACTCCATGGTTACTCTTCATCAATCAGTTTCACAAAGAGATTCTTTGTAACATTATAAAGTTGGTTCCATAATGCGAGAATAGTATAACACTAATATCTACCTAGTCAGAGCAACGAAAAAAAGAACCTTAAGGACATTACATTTAGACAGTTTGGAGGTAACCAGTCCCAATTGACGGCCCCGGTTCACGAACATGACATGTACACCAGCACCGCCCAACTAAACCCTATTAAAAAGTAAGGTCTTTTTTTGACGACCAGCTACCATTGTCGCCAGTCTCCAATCTTATTTTTTATCATACAATCTGATTCAATTTTCTCTGAACATTTCCTATTTCCTCGGAATGCTGACCACTGACCCCTTGCGTGACATCACTGGAGGAAAACGTATGACCAAATAAATCACGAGCAATTAATCTTGAACACATTTAGATTATGGATGTGTGCCATTTTCTATGAATAGGTGTAAATAAGGCTCTTTGGGTACGTGTAAAACGCTATTGTAGAATATGTTTGTGATTCAGTGTGATGAAATGCAGATATTAAGAGTTAATTGTAGTTACGGTGATGATGTTTTACTGGAACAAGCATTTAGGTACATGTGCTAAATAAATAGAAAATGTCAAATGACACAACATGTGATGGTTAACATATTTAAACCAAGATATTTTTTTTTGGTGCAAAAATTGCTGAAGCCCGTTTTGTGTTTCTACGGAAACTAGAATTTATAGGTAAAAGAGTAAACGCGTCATAATAATAGGGATATAACTAGAGAAATAAAAAACAATTGCAACACATAAAATAATCAAATCAACTTTTTCGCAACCTTAAATCAAGGTGATGGCAATGGAAAAAACATCTCGAAAGAGGTTAACGTCCTTTTTTCGCTAAGCCAACTCCATTCCTATTGAATCCATTTTAGGAGAGAAAGTAAGAAAAACAGACTAATCCAGTTCGTGGACGGAAAGTGTATTACAAGATTTTAGTACATTTGTCCCTTGAGTGTCCTTGGGAGGGCGTTAGAATGGGATCATCAATGCTATTGTGAACCATAATGGTTATGTCTTCCTGTTACTTTATAGCTTATGGCTGGGTACATAACAATAAGTTTTAATAAACCAATTGCTTAGGCTTGGGACTTTTCTTTGCGAAGGTTAGACAAGGACTTTTAAACAAAATAGTTGACGGTTTTGCTGGTGATTTTTGTAACAACACTTCGTCATAAAGCTGATGTGCTTCGGCGTTAAGATATGTAGGTGGTGTGGATTGCCTACCACCAGGTAATGCATGAGCTCGCTGGCTGATCTATCTCATAACAAGAATAAAATTCATAAAAAGGTCTTTGATATATTCAGTCCCGTGACTTTTTTAACCCTATAATAAAAGCTTCGTTTTATTATAATAATTTATAATAAAAAAAATCAAATTAATATTTATTCTGTAGAGCTGAATACATTTAATGTTTCTTGGTAAACGAAATCCAGAAATATGATTATTTATGTTCATCATCTAGTATGTCCCTTTTTACGTTTAAAGCCAGTCACTTTTTACTTAATTGTAGGAAAGGCGTTATTAATACATGACAATATAGAAGGTATTTATTAGAAGGAATATTATTCTTGTAATTACATACCTATCTACGGCCATATTGTAGGTAATAATAAGCATTATTCTATTATTTTATTAATTTTATCATGCATTTGTTTTTAAAAAACAACTAATACGTAGGTATTGCTTTGTTTATTTTATTATAGGTAGTAAAATTTTCCTGTTGACATTACGATAAAGTTTACATGTAGTTATTTAGTTTTTACATTATTGAATAAGGTTTTTTAATTATTGTGTTTACAATACAGCACGGTTTCCTTTGCTAAGGTTGTCCATCTAAAAGTTCTTTATATTTAAGACACGTGTTAACTAAAATAAAATTTATAATAAAAATATTCTTTAACATAACATTACCGATAATTATTTGACATTTACTTAAAGTATGGGAGAGTTATGCTATGTGTGGGATAGCTGTGCTTCAGCTCGATTGGGTCGGCTCGACCGGAGGATACCACGGCCTGACAGAAAACCGACGTGAAACATTCACAGCGTTGTTTTACGTCGTATAGAGGCTCCTTCCCCTTCCCAATCCTTAAACCTCCGTAATAACCCTTTTTTCCAAAAGTCAATAAGTGAAAAAAAGTTAGAATCCTTTATTTCAATTAGATCCCTATCAGGCAGTCACTCGGTCAGTCCTCTAAGTGAAGTTAGTTACTGGTTGCAAAGTGTATGTAGATTTCGATAGAAAAGAAGGAACAAGAAACTCCATGGTTACTCTTCATCAATCAGTTTCACAAAGAGATTCTTTGTAACATTATAAAGTTCCACTATGCAAGATTAGTATATCACTAATATCTACCTAGTCAGGGAAACGAAAAAAAAAATTACCTTAAGGACATTATATTTAGACAGTTTGGAGGTGCCAGTCCCAATTGACGGCCCCGGTCTACAAACACGACACATACATCAGCACCGCCCAACTAAACCCTATTAAAACGTAAGGTCTTTTTTTGACGACCGGCTACCATTGTCGCCAGTCTCCAATCTTTTTTTTTATCATACAATCTGATTCAATTTTCTCTGAACATTTCCTATTTCCTCGGAATGCTGACCACTGACCCCTTGCGTGACATCACCGGAGGAAAACGTATGACCAAATAAATCACGAGCAATTAATCTTGAACACATTTAGATTATGGATGTGTGCCATTTTCTATGAATAGGTAGGTGTAAATAAGGCTCTTTCAGAACGTGTATAATGCTATTATAGAATATGTTTGTGATTCAGTGTGATGAAATGCATATATTAAGAGTTTATTTTAGTTAAGGTGATGACGTTTTATTGGAACAAGCATTTAGGTAGATATTTTAATAAATAGAAAATATAAAATGACTATTTCACAACATGTGATGGTTAACATATTTAAACCAAATATTTTTTTGGTGCAAAAATTGCTGAAGCCCGTTTCGTGTTTCTACGGAAACTAGAATTTATAGGTAAAAGAGTAAACGCGTCATAATAATAGGGATATAACTAGAGAAATAAAAAACAATTTTAACACATAAAATAATCAAATTAACTTTTTCGCAACCTTAAATCAAGGTGATGGCAATGGAAAAAACGTCTCGAAAGAGGTTAACGTCCTTTTTACGCTAAGCCAACTCCATTCCTATTGAATCCATTTTAGGAGAGAAAGTAAGAAAAACAGACTAATCCAGTTCGTGGACGGAAAGTGTATTACAAGATTTTAGTACATTTGTCCCTTGAGTGTCCTTGGGAGGGCGTTAGAATGGGATCATCAATGCTATTGTGAACCATAATGGTTATGTCTTCCTGTTACTTTATAGCTTATGGCTGGGTACATAACAATAAGTTTTAATAAACCAATTGCTTAGGCTTGGGACTTTTCTTTGCGAAGGTTAGACTGGGACTTTTAAATAGAATAGGTGACGGTTTTACTATTTAATTTTTTTTAATAGTGAAACCATGATATATGTCGTCATTGAACTAAAGTGCTTTGGTCTTATGAGTGTCCATAGGAAGTGTGGATTGCCTATCAGCAGACAATCCTTGAGCATGTGGCCAATCTCATAACAAAAATAAAATGTATTAAAAGGTCATTGATATTTTCAGTCTCGTGACTTTTTTGACACCATTTATAATAACAGATTTCTAATTAATATTCTTTCTGTAGAGTAGAATACATTTAATGTTTATTAGTAAACGAAATCCAGAAACATTTATATGAATGTATATCACCTCGTTTGCCCCTCTTTATGATTAAACCTAACTGATCAGGTTGGTAAGCGCATAACTCAACAATACCTGAACCAATATTGCATTTTTCTTGTTGTTGTTTTTTTGTGAATGACAGGAGAAT